AGTAGACGTGCAAGTTACAGGTCTAGCGCTCCTAGTGGCCAAAAGTTACAGGCTGTGAATTTAAAGGACAGTTGAAGTGACCTATATGTTAGAGCGAGAGCAATCATCAGTAAAAGACATTTTTCTGAATTTCCGTCTGAAATAAAGATGGAATTTTGACAGAGTTAACATTTGAAATCTCTTTTAATTCTCTCTCTATTCTCCATGGAATTAACCTCTCAAATGTTTTAAAGCATTTACAAATAATAACTCAGAATGCATGAAAATTACACGGGTAAAATGTTTACCAATATAGACATATAAGACATCGTTGGAAAGATTGCATTCTGCACAATATAACCACCTAGCTCATTTTATGGACATAGCAAGCACCAAAGCTCAATTAACACAGATATAGCAGAATGTCAAAATGTACCATGACAAAGCAGCCACAACAAGCAGGCATGTCTTTATTACTGCTGTTCAAAAATAAACCTATTATTTTCGAGAATGAAAAAAAAACAACAACATTGAGTCTTGTTTGAACTGATGCAGCTTGGGCTTGATGCAGCTTGGGTGTTTTACTCACCCAATTTTCATGTATATTTTCAGAAACTTGAAGGGGTTAGCTTTCAAATAATTTATTACACATATAATTTAGGCTTAAAGTTCCTAAGTTATTTGCTTTTCAATCTGGGTAATTTGCAAAATAGATGAGAACTTACCAAAATGAGGTGGATATTAAGAGGCTAAAAAATAATTTAAATTTGAAATTTTCAAAAGACTACCAAATTCCCTAATCCTACCAAAATCCCTAATCCTGCATACTGTATGGTAGACTTTGCTTGACTGAACTTTTCTTTCTTGTTTCATCAATAATATCTCTTCTTGTTTAAATTCCCAATATAGATATTGAAGAGTTTCCGGATGATGAGAGGGACCCAGTGTATGCTAAAGAAGGTCAGGGGGCAGTTCTGTTGTGTGTTCCACCAAAAGCCTGGCCAAGTATGTATACCTTCCTCCTCAGTCTCAAAAATCTACACTTAAAAATTGAGAGCCCTTGAAAATGCAATTAGATAATCATTGAACGTATGATTCTTTGAAACTGTCAGATAACAATCTATAGAAAAATAGCTAACCATTATTTTGCTGACCAAACTGTACATCTGTGGATGTGTGAACTTCTTTTCTTTCTCATCTATGTTTTTATTTTCAGAGGAAGTTACATATCGATGGATCTATAACGAGTTCCCAGTTTTCCTGCCCACAGACCGCCGTCGGTTTGTCTCTCAGAAGACAGGGAACCTTTACATCTCAAAGGTTGAAGCTCAGGATGCAGGAAACTACTCCTGTTTTGTTTCTAGTCCCATAATAGGAAAGAGCGTCTACTCCAAATTTATCCCTCTCATCCCTTTACCTCCAGATGATGGTTAGTCATAATCTGTGGCAGTTAAGATATCAAACTGTAGTGTTTTCTTATCATTGATATTTATCTTTTACTGTCGCAGGTGAGGAGAGAAAATATCCAGCAGACATTAGGGTGAAGTTTCCAGACACCACTGCAATGCTGGCCTCCAATATTACATTGGAGTGCTTTGCTCTTGGAAAGTAAGTGTTTGAAGCTTAGTTGGTGATTGCTTATATAGATAACATTACAGGACATGAAGTTGGACCTTTTAGAATAATAGAAATTGTTAGAGCACTTGGAAATATATAATGGACAGGGAACACAAATCACAAGGTTAAGGAATGGGCCAGTTTAGATCTGCTGGTCTTCTATATTTTAGAGGGATTTTAAAAAATGCATTTATATTCCTTTAACTTTTTCACATTCATCAAAATGTTTTATAATGGAATTTTATGCTGTAGAGCAGCACATAGAAGGGATTTATTTTGTGGTGAAATGAAAAGCGTTCATGGTTTTGGGTTTGTTTTTGAAAATAGTAATCTGAAAAGTCATGTATTTATCCTCCTTTGAAGAATTTATTTCCAGTGAAACATTTAGAAAGTGAAATGTTTGCATGTCCATGAGAATATCAGTTGTCAATGTTTTTCAACTCTCGCCACAGGCGATTCTAAAAGATGAAAATGCTTTGATGTTAACCATTGTTGCTCTTGCTGTATGTTGGGATCAGTTTTCGTTTAAAATATGAAACCTACAGTCTCAAGTCTTTTGCATCCTCTAAAATATTTTCTTTCAGCACTGTCCTCTTTCAAACCTTTCCGGGTTTTCAATAAAAACAGCTTGATTTCTACACTGTTTTGAAGAAAAATTCATGTAATTGGGGGTGTCAGAATAAAGGGGCTAAATGCAAATTCATATCAAACCATACAGAGCTTAATTTGTAAAGTAAAAATCGAAACCATATAAAAAATATGCTCTTCTTTGTTTTAGTCTATTAAAAAAAATTCCACTTGAATACAACACTGTTTGTGTTTGCAATGTGACAAACCCATCTTACTCTTATATAACCTTAAAGTGTTGAGTTCATCCATTTTTTAAAAATTCCTTTGTCGATCACTTTTCTTATTCAGTCCCATCCCGCACATTGTATGGAGGAAGGTTGACGCCACTGACCTCCCTGCCAATCATGAGATCAGTGAATCAGGTGCTGTGCTTCATCTCTACAATGTTCAGTATGAAGATGTTGGAGCATATGAATGCGAAGCTATCAACACCAAAGGAAAGGACTGGCACAAAGCCTGGCTTTATGTGGAATGTAAGTCAAGTTAAAGGTGGTAGTATTTTTTTTTTTCTCATGTAAGGAATAATGACACCCAATATATGCATGTAGCTGCACCTGAATGGGCGGAAACTATCAACAACACACAAGTGGATATTGGATCTGAGCACACGATGCGTTGCGTGGCTTCAGGAAAACCCTTCCCTTTCATCAGCTGGTACAAAGATGGGTATATGGTAAAAAAAATTTTTATCTTTTAAAGCATTTCTCTAGTCTCATTTGTCATAGTTCTTCTCAAAGCTGTCTTCTTTCCGACGTATGTTTTTTTTTCTAGTATGGCAAAGGTGAGCTAAAGTTTTCCAGTCTGACTTTTGATGACTCTGGGATGTACCAGTGTATTGCTGAGAATTACTGGGGCATCAAATATGCCAATGCTGAGCTGCGAGTTGTTGGTAAGCTCTTGTGTGTAGATGGTTTTACTATTTGTAAAATGCATCTTTAAATGGAAATAACTCCCCTATTATTTCCAACCAGCCTGGGCTCCAAACTTTGAGCTCAATCCCGTAAAGAAGTATCTACTTGGAGCTAAAGCCGGACGAGTGGTGATAGAGTGTAAGCCAAGAGCTGCTCCAAAACCTCGATTCACCTGGACAAAGGGCAAGGAGGTCCTCTTCAACAACTCCCGGTCAGCATAAATACCCCGCCCCGCAGTAAACATGAACATGTTTTCAGTTTATAATAATAGATAGGTTTAATTCTTTTTATTTTTAGTGTTTCTATCATGCTCGATGGCAGCCTGGAGATCTTGAACGCCACCAAAAACGATGAAGGGTTTTACACCTGTGTCGCCGAAAATGACAGAGGAAAAGCCAGCAGTTCAGGATATCTCACCATCACAGGTTAGCTGGTAAATGTGTGACTATAGTTCTTTGTATAACCATTCATACACTCTTCAACTTTTGTGTTACATTCAAAACAAATTATTGACATGTAGGACAACTGTTAGTCATACAATCCTCAAACTTGGCCTGTATTAAAGACAAAGCCATGAGAAGTCATGCCTGAAGAATGCTACAAGCTATGCAGGGGACTGGGAAAACTTTTAACACAGGTTGCTCTGGCTAAATGAGACCAGCACCAACACTTTAGTCTCTATTTGCAAATTATTTATTATTTATTTATTATTATTATTATACACAGAAAAACAGGCCCCACTCTATAATCTAACGGGTTGATAGCTATAGTCCAGTAGATCTTTAACTTGACGATGGTGTCACATGTAGTGAAATGATCAGATGACGAGAAAAATAGAGAGAATATAAAGCTTTTCGTTGAACGAAAACATCCTGTAGAATGGGAGAATAGAGATAGAACAAGACAGAGTGATCTTAAGTGGTCTCTATGTCCTCCAGCAGTCTAAGCCTATAGCAGCATAACTTTAGAGATAATGGGTCTGCCTCACAGACTAAAACTGCTTGTCGGTTCCACAGGGGATGAACCTGATAATTAAAATATCTGCCTCCAATTTCCCTTTAAGCAACATCAAAAAGCAAGAGGTTGGTTGATACAGGAGCTCCAAAGTCTATTGTTATTCCTTTTTCTGGCAAAAGTGAGTCTCTTTACGTGCTTTGCACAGAGAAAGGTAGAAAGTGTGGTTTTCCTCAGAGTTGTTACCTAATTATGGTATATCTAGTAAAGCTGTGCAAGATATTTTGAAAATACTTAATTTTATAGTTGTGTCTAAAGTTGATTTATTCATTAGAGGAAAACAAAGTAAAAAAAATAAATCTTATAATTATTATAATTATAAATATATCTTTTCCATATTTGCAGGCGTGCCTCTCAGTTCTAGTAAAATAAATATACTTGATGCATTTTTAAATGTATCAGCTTTTCTCTTATTATCATTAATTCATGCCTTGGATGATTTATGGACAAATAGGGTATAAAAAAGTTGCCCATTTGTCATAGCTACTGTAAAAATGGAAAAGACAAGGGAACATGCCATTACATTTATTTTGGAAGATTATAACTTTTCTGCCTTACTCTAAAAACCTAATTGATATTCTCTGAAGTTGAATTGTGTTAATCACCAATATTCAGTAAAGTCAAAAAAACATTCATTGAACAACACATGTGCATTGGCCTGAGTCTCTTTAAAATACACCAAAGCGAAATAAATTATGTAAAAATTAGACGATCCTATTAGCAAAACTGAAAATATATTAGTTTTGCTATTTGTTTAGAATTTTCCTATGTATATTTAATGTGTCTGGGAAAAACAGCAGGAATGTAGTTTGACAACCACTTACAATACTCCTTGGGATTTTTAACGGACGATCTGTTTGTATCTATTCTCAGAGGCAACAGGTATCACTGTAGCACCTGAGGACTCCGAGGTCAGAGTTGGAGACGAGGTGGTTCTCCGATGTGCTGCTTCGTATGACTCCATGCTGGACGTCACTTTTATCTGGGCCATTGACCTCAGAGTCATTGACTTTAATGCAGAGTGGCCACACTATGAGAGAGTAATGGTGAGTTGACATCTTAATAATCTTTCAGCCTGCAAATTATGACATTTTCTTATGTTTGTATATGAATGTAATAGGACATGTTTATTTTATTTTTTTTACTATCCTAGGAACTACTATTTCATTGGGTTTTTTTTTCTTCTTTTATTTGTCCTGAGCAGAGTGAAGATGGAGTTGGTGACTTGAAAATAAAAAATGCACAGATTTGGCATGAGGGTCGTTACACCTGCACTGCTCAGACTGTGGTAGACAGTGACACTGCTTACGCTGACCTGAAAGTTGTAGGTGAGTTCAAGCTTTAAATGAATAAGAGCTGTGCATTGAATTAGTAATAGTGTTACAAAGCAGTTGTATATGAAACCTCCAGGTGTTCCCGGCCCTCCTGGTGTGCTCCGCATCGAGGAGATCGGAGACACTTGGGTAAGGCTTTTGTGGTCTAAAGGATCTGAGCACAACAGTCCCATCTTATACTACACTATTCAGACCAGACACTACTGGGCTCTAAATGAAGATGACTGGAGGAATGCCAGTACATGTAAGTGCTGTTTTTGGCCAGCAGAGGGACATCTTGCTCCACAGACTGTTAAAAAAACAAAGTTTTTTAGAATGCATTTCCAGTTTATCTTTTAAGCAGCCTCTTCTTTTGTCCTTTAGCTCCATCCGTTCTTGATGGAACTATGGAGAAAGCAGATGTTACTGACTTATATCCGTGGATGGAGTACCAGTTTAGGATCATTGCCACCAATGAGTATGGATCTGGGGAGGCCAGTATACCTTCTCTCAAGATCAAAACCTGGGGTGCTCGTAAGTACACTGAAAAATGTTTTGTTTATGATTTTGCCATGAAGCAGACTTTTCTGAAAAACTCACGCTGAGCTGCTTTCTTTCCAGCTCCAGTTGTTTCTCCTACAGAAGTGGCCGGATATGGAGGTAGAAATGGCGAGATTATCATCACTTGGAAGGTAAGTTTCCAAACTCGCATAATAACATAATATAGATTCTTCCCTAAATGTGTGATGACACCCATTTCTTTTTTTGACATGGTAACCCTCAGCCTGTGGAGCCCTGGTATTTCTATGGCAGGAAATTTGAGTACACTGTCGCATTCAAGCCTCATGACGCCTACGATTGGTGGTATGAGACCATCTCAGACCCAGAGACCAGACGATATGTTCATAGAGATCCCTACTTCATTCCCACCGAGGAGGATTTCCAGGTGCGAGAGTTTCAGGTGAAGATCAAGTCAGTTAATGAGAAAGGGCCCGGACCGTACAGCCTCACCAAGGTCATCTATTACCCGAGAGATGGTGAGAATTAGTTTCTTTTCCTAATAATTTCAATCAAAGCTTAAATAATTATATAAATTTGTCTAGACAGAAACCTCTGTGGTATAATTTTGGTTATTTTCTAAATTACTAACTTCAAATGTGGTTTTCCTTTTTGGTTACTCAGTTCCAATAGAGCCTCCTACAGATGTCTATGCCAGGCCAGTATCCTCCACTGAAGCAGTGGTTTGGTGGCTGCCTGTTGTTGATACTGGAACAGGTCTACAGCAGTACATTGAGGGATATCAGGTACATACATTTTTACTTCTTGCATGTTGTGGCAATAACGGAAACTCCCACAAAATTACAACTAAGATTAGTTTAACCTAGATTTCAATCTATCCATGCTTTGCCATATTATTTACTCAAAAAAGCTAAAAACTGACCAAAAATGAATCTAACTTCACAGGTCAAATACTGGAGAAAATATGATGACCCAGAACCAGGAGCAAATCGCATATTTGTTCCAGCCACAGTCAATCAGACCCGACTGGAGAATATGCTGCCAGATTCACATTACCTCATTGAGGTCCGGGCCTTCAACGGAGCAGGCCTTGGACCGCCTGGTGAACACTGCGAGATGTTCACAAAGAGAGCACGTAAGAGCAAAATAACATCTGACAGAGATGTGTAATGATACATATGTGAACATTCAAAATGAATAAACCATTTCTTAACAGCACCCTCTGAGCCTCCCCGGATGTGGCGCTATGTCAGCTGGACAGGACAATGGCTGTATGTATGGTGGGATCATATCCAGTATGACTGGTTTGGGAATGTCTCTTTCCCATTGTACTACAAGGTATGTACGGTTAGCTTTATTTGAACTCTATTGTAAGAAAGGTTTCAGATTGCTAAGATAGTAGGAATGTTTAAAATCACCTATGTTTTGGTTTCTCAGGTCATGTTTAGAAAAACAGGGTATATATACGGGAAGGTCTATATCACCGGCTGGCACTTTATGGACTTCCCAATGCCTCAGTTTGGTGACTATGAACTGATGGTTCGTGGTCGCTATGAAGGGGGAGATGGCCCAGTCAGGATGATAAGTATTAAGGGTAAGCTCTAAGCTAACAGAGTTTTAAAAAGTGTTTATCCTTTTTTTGACTAACTTTTGTCATCTTTATTCTTCTTCAGGTAAAGCATCCCTCACCACACCCACATTAGGTTTCTTATCTTTGTTGCTGCTGGCGCTGTGTATTACAGGTTTGTAAATTTAAATCACAAGCAGGTTTGTTGTATATAATGGACTATAGGAAGCCAATACTTGGACCTCATGGAAGATCGATTCATCGTGAAAATGTTCACAATAACTAGTATCCATTTTTACAGTATTCCTGAAGGTAAAAAGTAGAATTTTGATTTCCAAATAAAAGTGGTTTGTTTGCAGTGCAGTAATTCTGTAATGTACTGCGCAAAGACAGCAGCAAGATATCTAAAAAGAAGAGTGGGAATTTTAGCAAAGATTTTCATGCACAAGTTCAAAATTGTTAACAGTTGAAATTCTTTCCAGAATATATAAAGACAGATACAGACTGCTGTAGCATATAATTAAAACACTGCTTAGGTAGTAATAAATGTAAAGTAACTGAATTGCACTAAAACTAGTTGTTTTGATCATATTTATTTATTAATTTATTAATTTATTTTAATTTACCTGGACATTTTTTTCAAGAGTGCTGTGTATTAGGAATTTTCCACAAATACAACTAATCATTGCCAGTGTTTTTGATATACTTCTAAACTGCTGAGCCACTAAAACTTAGTTTGGCATTTGTTGTTAAGCCAGGGTTTCCACATAAAAACATCACATACATGAACAGGAAAAATTTGCAAAATTCACAAATCAATTTTTTACCAACCTTTAGCCACTGTCTCTTCATACTGTGTGTTTCCTGACACCTCTAGGGACAAATCAAGGCAACAGTAGCTGGTTGTGCAGAAAGGTTCCATTTGGTCTCCCTTTGGGTCTGTCTTTGGGTCAAAGATGTACAGTTCTGCTTTTGTAGATCTATTTGGATCTATTTTCACCTGTATAAAAACAATTCTAATCAGTGATTTGGGGGTTTGTGTTAAGCTACAGCTAAACTGCATAAAAGCGACAGCGCCCCAAAACAACTCCTTAAAAAAAGAGCTAAAAATGCACAGAACTGAGGAAAAAAGTCATTATCTGAGGATGATTTTGTGCAAAAAATGCAATGAACATTTTTTTATTGTCCATATACTTACCCTTATTTGTTTCAATGAGAACATAATTGTTTTCTTAAAACTTCACTATTTTTTTTTTATCTCTACAATGTAAACCCAGCACTTTTCTTTCTTTTCTATTTTGCATATTAAAATTTGAAAGGCATGGATCACTAATAAAGATGCACTTTTATCTGGTAGAAGGTGAAACCTCACTGATGTACAAATGGATATGTATGTTACTGCTACTTTCCTCTATTTAAAGTTGGAAAACTAATAAAAAGAATTCATCAGTCATGATCTTATTCTGTTCGTGCTTATGCCTACATATCAAATCGGAATCTTCACACTTCAGAATTGTTTGAAAACGTAAAAAACTGAATGTGCGTTTTCACATATGTCTGAAAAAAGAAATGCATTGTCTCTTATAAAATGTATTATGTAACAAGGTATCATAAACCATTTGGAAGACATTTTATGAGATTTTAACTAAAATATGATGTTTAAAACAAATCTTATTGCATTCTAGGCTTTACTTTATTTTAAACAGAAATGCAAAAGATAAGTTTTTTTTTCTTTAAGGAAAAAAAAATATGTGGGATATATATAACTTTTAAACATCAAAGAAGCTGCAAACTAATAGAGAAAGGAATAATACAGCCACCAGATGGCAGTGTTCCCACATAACTACAGTAAATCTTGCAAAGAGGCACTTAAAACCCATCTAATTATATACATTTTTTATCAGTTGTTTCCTTTATTTTTTATTCAAATACAGATAGAGCAATTTCATCTGCACTAAGACAACGTATCAACATTTTAATGTTGTAATACTTTTTTTATTTTCTTGCACCTTTTAATTTACTTTAACCAACATGGAACATTTCCATGCTATTTCAGTATTCCTTTCAAAATGCCATGTCTGCCATATCTTTTGCAGCTCTCATTGAGATAGACCATTTTGTAAGCTTTTACTTTTACTCAAATGAAGCTTTGTGCCTTTCCAGAGTGGGGGCTGTCTGAGTAGCTTTTATCTTTTCTACCTCCAGTACCATTTTTCCCCTCCTATTTTACATCCTTCCTGATAAACAAATTACACCGCCCGAATTCCTGTGCGTGGCGAAAAATCAATCTTGCTATCATTTACAAACAATCACAGCAGTTGCAGAAAGGTGAGTCCATCGGAGGCAAGGGGGAGTGATTCACCCTCCAGGGAAGGATAATGAACAACCCTTTTGTTGCGATGGTTCCTTTGGTTTTTATTAACATCCTCAGTCTGGTTCTGCTTTGAATGCACTTTTCGTGGAAACCAGAAAGACTGCAGCTCTTCTGCTGAACAGTTTTCTTTTACTTCACACATATTTTTCTATGTATGAAAATAAAAGAAAACAACAATGCATTAGAAGATGGAAATCATAGCTATCTGGCACTAAATGTTGGATATCTTAATGATCCAAAGATTTGGGTGATATTTTTTCTCAACCATGAAAACTAAAGATGGCCAGTTGAAATTAGCAGATGAGTGCACATGTAAACTAGATTTGAGCTCTGTAAATGGCAAAGAAAAAGCAAGACAAACTAAACTCAAATAAAACAAAAAAACACCTTTGTAGGTGTCACAAAGTAGAATTATTGAATAATTTGATTGCTTGAATAATTTGATTGCAGAATAATTTTACACTTGCATGATTAAGATATTTATGGTATTGCTGAAAAAAAATGTTGGTTCTTTGGAAACAAAGACAAACGCTGACTCTCTGACCGATTAAAAATGAACCGCCTATATATCTGACATCTTCTGTAAGAATCTCAGCTCAGTGATAGCAGAGAAGGAGACTAGATTCTTAAATCATCAAACACTGCTTCTATATTTTAAAGTTTCAGTGACAAGTTATTTTAAGAGTGGATAAGGCATAAAAACAGCACCAAGAGGATTGATTTCTAGCAGACATAAAATGGCACTTAGAAAAGTGGTCTCAAGCTCAGATCCTCCTGGTTGATGTCCTGCAACTTTTAGATTTGTCCCCTGACATAAAATGGCTAAACTGGGCTCAGTCCGAACACCTCAAATGGGTAAAGACACTTAAGCTACAGTGGAAGGACATCAGTGGCTGTCACGATAAGTGCTATCTGGATAGTGGTGGCAGTAAGGAACAAGTTGGGAGAGAAAGCAGGATCTTGCCAATTAATTTATTGTAGGGACTTTCTGATCATTATATACTTATGTCTGACAGATACAAAACCAAATGTGCAACTGTTCTAAAATCAAGACATTTCTGAGCACATCTTTCATTTTTCTGACTGAATTGACTAATGATTCACTTAAAATATGAAACTATTTATACTAAAGGAAATTCAAATAAGTGCAAGTAATAATTATGCAGCATGATGGCCATATTCCCACTTAATGGTATTTTAATGTGTCATTACTAGAATTGCACAATTTATCTAATCTCAGTCCTTTTCCCATTATCATGGTGTACAATATTTTAATCAGAGGGGGTTACTGGTATTAAATGCTTGGTATTGTATTACTTTTTTAATAACATGAATACAAATAAGTCATGTTGATAATGTATTTGACCTTAGCAATAGATGTCCACTATATTTTTTGTGACCACGATGCTGTTATCTTGCAAAGGTAACATAATGATGGAGGAAAATAAAGAGAGCAAACACAATCATTATTATTCAAATATCCAGCCAAAGTAACACAATAATAATTTTTAATATTTGCTTTATTCCCTTATGTTTATTGCTAACATTATGGAAAACTTAAGAATGAAAATCCCTGAATCATTTCTGTTGAGCACAGCAGAGGAACTGCAAACCTGTTTGTATTTCCAAAGGACACACTTAAAATGATTTAAATAATTTAAATAGAATTTCAGTGAACTAAACAAAAACAACAACGTTCTTTCACTCAGTGTTTTAGCAAAATACTGATCCAAAAAAGGTACCAAGTGTCCAAACATACAAACGGCCAACCTTCTGCCATGGCCCCTTTATTCTTCTAGACCAAAATCATACAAATTGTGGGACAACTTGAAGTAATGTGAGCATTAGAGAGGATACAGGAAGCAGTTTGGCCATTACAGTAGGTGTTTTAGCATCCATGTTATGTTTTTCAGCAGTAACCAAATATATCCATCTCAGATGTAGGGTAGAATAAATGTGCTCCCTGGGTGCAGCAGAGAACACACTGTTATTTACATATTAGATATTCCCTTGGCTGCTTTCCATTTGATCAGAGAAGGCTCTGTCACATTAAACTTGTGACGGCAGGAGCACATGGATGGATTTTGTAATAGAGCTGAGGCCCATAATGCTCAAAAGCATGCTCTGCTTTAGATTTTTCTACCGCTCACATACCCTCATCTTATCATTATCTAATGCTTTTTACCAGTTAGCACATCTCCTTACTCTGTTGCATCCTTTGTTGTTCTGTAAATAATGAATGTAACTCAATAATCTAATATTTGTCATTTAGCAGCAGGTCTTTGGCCCACGTGATACAGAGGAAGTAACCAAACCAGGCCATATGCAAAGTACTCTGCATGAGCCATGAATCACATCTGAGCCCAGACCCCCTGGGTGGCTCACTAGTTAGCTCAGACCAGAGAGACCCAACACTTCTGGGCCCCGTAGAGCTAAGCAACAAGCATTCTCAGATGGCTCCTGGGGTTCTGAGGGATCCGCTTAATTTTCCTGACAAATCTTGCAGTGTGGCGCAGACTTGTGTAAATACTGTAACTCTCCTAACCTGCATAGCAGCACCGAGGACCATATTTCCTGGTTCCTGGTTCAATGACAGAAATAGGCTGCAGTGTCCATAAGTCAGAAATTGTCTCCTATGTAAGTATCTTATGGCCTTGTTCACAATGTGAAAAAGGACTGCTACATATTTGATTCTCCTACTAGCTGCATTTTGTCAGACCATTGATGGTGTTTGAGAAGCAAATCATACAATTTATCAGACTGATTACAGGTGATGTTGTTGAAGGACTTATGTGAGCAGCTTCATGTGTGATGAAATAAAGTTGGGCTTTTCTGTTAGTATCTGTGCAGCTCTATTTCAAACAATATTTGATTAAAGTTTAGTTGATTCTCCCTTTATGTCTGTCACAAAAATCAGTTCAATTCAATTTATTCATATTGCACCAATTCATCATGACGCTATATAAATAGACTGATCATGGCTAAGCTTGAATTTGTCCAGACATCACCTTCTATCAGATGCAGTAGTATTGTCACAGCAACCAAGACATTTGGAGGTGTAGGTAACATATTTCAGTTATTTTATAACTGTTCATTAAACGTTTTTCCTTAACTAATCAAACTCTGAAACTTAAATAGAAAAATACAATAAAGATATTCTAATGTACAAATAATGTCAGGATCTGCAAGTGAGATTTTATTGTTGATTTGTTTTGTTGCCGTAGTTCCTTATCTTTTTCATTGTGGGTTTACTGTGATAGTTCTCTTTGTTTACCTTTCACTGGGTGTTATCTAGTTTATTTATCTTGTATGTTTCATATTTTTTTTTAGCTGGTTTGTCTTTTCTTTTATCTATCCAACACATTCTATAATGGATGAAAATTCCAATGTATCCATAACTGTCCTCCCAGAGATTGTTTGATAGCATGTAAAGATGAGACATATCATTTATCACGTGATCCAGGAATAATACAGATAGTTTTTTTATTCTTTAATCTTAATAAATAGTTTTAATTCAAACCCCAAAAAAGTGCCATATTTTTTGTGGAGCTGTAGTCTTACTTGACAGCAAACTGTGAAAGGAGGCTGAAACCATGAACAGGTTGGGAGTCCGTCACAACCAAACCAAACATAAGATATACAAATGTTTGAATAGTGAGATAAACAGAGAAACCACTGTGTGTTCACAGAAAATATATGCAAACCTATTTAGGCCACATCTGAAAACCAGAGAAGATTGAAAACACAGATCTTTGGGTGAAAATGTATTCCTCTATAGCAAAACAGTTTCTAAGTTAAGGGGATAACATTGTGCTAAGGTTTTCCCCTTTTGGACTTTCAGTTTTCATTATCTAAGTATTTCTGTGTGGTATATCTTTGGTTTATTTTCCATTTTGTGTTATATTCAAGCAGTCTTCAGTTACTCTCTGTTGCCCCCTTGTGCCTGTCTCCTTTTCCATAGCTCCAATCTAATCCCTTCCATCCACACCTGCTTCATATCAGCTGATTACCCCAGTCTTTGTTCTGACTACCATATATACTCTCGCTGTGCAGCTCTTCAGGCTTTTT